TTCTGCAATCACTCCTGCTCCTGATAGTGGGGTATTTGTGGTCTGCATGTCTGATTGTAGGCTTCTTGGTGAAGCTGTGTGCGATGTTTACTGATTTTTCACTCGGCTTCGTTCCAACAATTATTTGACCACACAGACTGAACCTGTAAACTGCCATTTCAGCATGTATTAGCATTAGGAAGAAACCCTGCAGTGGAAAAAATTTAATCCATATATTCTTACTAACGGCTACTTTAAGTCTGACTCTATCTAAAACCAGGGTATCATGGACCATTACATTACTACTGAAGAAGGCGTCTTTTCAGTACAAAAAGTATGTTTTGCAGTTATTACCAAAGCACCGGAGGATCCAGCTGATCACAGATATCTTTCCTTTGACCAAGATTATAGCTATCATTTACAGAAAAGTGTTTCATAGAAAACATTCAAATGTACTTATAATATAAAGATTTTCATTTTTCACAACCATTTAGATTTAAAATGTATCTTTTTAACAGTTCCTATATCATGTTTTTTGGAAAATCTTTGAAGGCACAAAAACAGGCGCAGAGTTTGATGATCTGCTTCTTTTTCTGGCCCAATCCAATTTTAAGCTCCCATTATAGGAAAGTTAGCTTACCGGCAGCTGAGGGTTCTAATATGGCCAGATATGAGCAGCAATCGTATGGAGGTGGGTCTCTGGCGTACAATTATGAAAGACCCGTCAGTTTTGCGCTCTCTACTGCTGCTGGTTGGCAGATGATAGAAGGTGACCTGATTAACCTACAAATTGACATTAAGCATCAGGAGCCGGCCTTGGCATGGCACGCTGTAAATATGATATCGTATGTGGGATTTGTAATTGTAGTCACCTCTTAACACATGAAACTTGAATGGTAAACGGTATGGGAACTGTTAGGGAACTGGCTAGGGGTCTAGTGGATGGGGTTGTGGGTTTGTTATACCCTGTTAGTGTAAGGACCAAGGAGGATTGTTGTTCGTGATAGAGATAGAGTCGCTTGACCCGTGAATGAGATGGGATAATCAGCATCCTCGCAACATAATAGACTACTAGATAGCTGATCGGTTGCGATCAGAAAGTCTGATAGA